CCATTAATAATTCATCAAGTTTAAACAAAGGAATAATGATCGCGACAGTGTTTGGATATCTAATCTTAATTAGCAAGGATTTTTACCATTTTATTTCCTAATTTTTTATTTAGTTTTAGTTTCGATTGAGAAGATATATCAAACATTCAAGACAATGTTTGACCACATTTCCTCGAACTCGTCAAAAATACTTCGCTACGTGTTGTATTTTCAACTCTCTTCTCGGTGTTTGAAAATGTGGTCATACACGGTCTTTCAAGTGTGATATGATACTTGAAGTCAACGGATGAGAGCATAACTTTATTAAAACTCACCGTGCCTGCAACCATACAGCTCCATTCTCAAGGATATGTAACTGTACCAGGATTTTGGATGAAGTCTCACAAAGCGGGCCTTGAACGGTTTTATAAAGCGACGTGTAACAACGTGGTATCTGTCACTGTTGGCACTAAAAAGCTGGAAGACACAAAAGAGGATACATCGCGATGTTTGACTTCTGACTTCCTCATCGATAGACTAAATTAGCAGTGGTTGACGAAAAATAGAGAATTTCAATTTAAAAAAATGGCAAAAGTTTTGCTACTTAATTAGATTTCAAAAGGAACTACTCATTCAGGAAGGCCTTCGTTTTCGTTTGACGAAAAGTCAAGTTAACATTTGGGTCTTTATAGCATCGTTTTTGCTAGTTCATGTAAAACCCGCTAAAACAGAGCAGCTCTAATACGTTTTGAAACGTGTGGAAAAAACCTTATTTAAACTCAAAAGTTAATTACCCTTGTTCGACGTCCTTCTCTGTAAGGAACGAACCGCCTTCCGTTTCGGCTGTAGGTGACAATGTAAGACTTCACGTATTGATTTGCGTCAAATCGCCCCTGTGTAGCCACACCCTTGAGGGTAGCAACTTTCTCCAAGTCCACCTGTATCCACTGTTGAGTGTTCCTTATTCGTGCTATCCAGCCCCCGCGCGTGGAACCATAGTTTCGCGCCTGCAATCGCGCGTTGTAAGGTCCGTAGTACTTGTTGTACATGGACGATGCACGGAGGCGGGATTTGGTAATGCGACCATCTTGCATTCCGAGTGGCATGAAACAATTGTCTTAAAATAAAAGGAAAACGCAATCAGTAAAACAATAAGCGCCTAAATAGAGACTATATTATTAGTATGAAACAAATTGAGTATCCAGAAATGGAAGTGGTGTCTTCAAACAGCTTTGACACAGACAGTAAATCTTGAAAAAATTGGCAAGTATATTTTCAGTTTGTCGTTC